TGCAAATAGTTTTGTCTGCACCATTTTTCTAGATACCAGAGGGTGTGGAGAAAAGGGAACCCTCTTACATTGCTGGTGGGAATGTAAATTGGTATAGCCACTGTGGAGAACATAATGGAGATTCCTTAAAAAACTAAACATTGAACTACCATTTGACCCAGCAATCCCACTATTGGGCATATACCCTAAGAAAACCATAACTCAAAAAGACATATGTAACCAAATTTCATTGCAGCACTGTTTACAATAGCCAGGACATGGGAGCCGCCTAGATGTCCATTGACAGATGAATGGATAAAGACATGGTACATATATACAATGGAATGTTACCCAGCCACAAAGAGGAATGAAATTGAGTCTGTTTTAGTGATATGGATGAACCTAGAGCCTGTCATACAGAGTGAAGTCAGAAGGAGGGACATAACTTCTCATGTTAAAATATTTTGGTAAAATCCCAAACAGAACTAACACCAACTGGGTGTATGACAATTTAGTTCTGACACTAACCACACAGAGTAACATCAGAGTCCACATATTAAATACTTGTGGTTCACAAGACAGCCCTCATTTCAGATGCCAGCCCTGAGTAAGGTCCCTAAGCCACCTATAATTCTGATGATACTGTCTGTAGACTTAGGAGTTCCTATGACTCACTTAGGTTCAATAATTCGCTAGCTTGACTCATAAAACTCAGGAAAGTGCTATACTTATTTTTATAGTTTTATTATATGTATACATAGAGTGAGGTCTGGAAGGGAACACAAAGATCCTTGCCCTCTTCTTGGAGAAACAGGCATGTCACCCTGTCTGCACATCATGTGCATCTATTCACCAAGTACGAAGCTCCAATCACCTTCCATGTCTAGAATTTTTATTGGGATTTCAATACGGAGGCATGACTGGTTTAGTCATTGCCTACATCAGTGAACTCAATCTGTAGCCATCTATAAGCTTCAGGAGGTTGGGCCAGTATCAGTACAAATCATCTCTTTAGCATAACAAAGATACCCTTTTCACTGAGAAAATTCCAAGGTTTTTAGAAGTTCTGTGCCAGAAACCTGAGATGAAGACCCAGTAAATTTTTTATTATGGAACATAAAATATAGTACATCAGTCCAAAAAATACGTGGGCAATCACAATTAAAATAGTCTATTGAAAATACTGGGCTCCCCAACTGGCACAGTGGTAAAGAATCCACCTGCCAATGCAGGTGATGCACGAGACTCGGGTTCAATCCCTGGGTCGGGAAGATCCCCTGGAGAAGGAAATGGCCACCCACTCCAGTATCCTTGCCTGGGAAATCCCATGGACAGTGGAGCCTGGTGAGCTACACTCCATGGGATCATGAACAGCTGGACACAACTGAGTGACCACACACACACACTGAAAATACCAGCAATTGAATTTAGAAATGTTTACTATCTAGTTAGTTTAATATTACCAGACAGGATGATTTGAGATAAATTTGGAACAACACAGGGTTCTGGCCCTTCTGTATTCTAGTGGCTGTGGCTATTAAGTCTCCAGTTTCCAGGCTTTCAGTAAAATTCCTTTCATCTGGGACATTTGGTGGTGGTCCAGTGGTTAAGAATCTTCCTTGTAATGTAGGGGACGTGGGGAACTAAGATCTCACATGCCACAGGGCAATTAAGCCTGCGTACCACAACAAAATATCCAGCAAGCCGGGACTAAGACCTGAACCAGTCAAATAAATAAATAAATATATTTAAAAAAAAAAAAAAAAAACACCTCCTTACATCTCTCAATTGTGAAGGGCCTCTGAGCTTATGCCTCTGAAAGAATCTGTGGAGTAATATCAAAACAATGATTATCATAGTGTATGATTCAGAGGTTAAGACTCTACTCTTCCAATGTGGGGGGCATGGGTTCACTCCATGATTGAGGAAGTTCCACATGCCAGAAATAAATTAACAAATAAAACAGCTATAATGTCAGGGGATAAGCTGGGCAAGAAGGAGTTTCCTGAGCCATAGGTCACGGTCATGGTCATGATGCATTGATTTAGAGTTCAACCTTAAGAAAAGTATATTAGCCAGCTTGGGATGCCATGGCAAGATACTACCAACTAGGTGACTTAACAGAAATTTATATCCCCACAGTTCTGGAGGCTAGGTGTCCAAGATCAAGCTCATGGCAGGGTTGGTTTCTGGTGGGCTCTCTTTTTCTGGACTGTGGACAGCTATTTTCTCACTGTGTTCTCACATGATCTTTCCTCTGTGTATATACTTTCCTGGGAAAGCATATTTACTTTATGAGCATAAACTGAGTAGTCTAGAGCTCCAATTAATGGATTTTCAGGAAGTTCTTAGGACAAACAATAATCTTTTTTTGCCATTTCATCTTTCTGAGTAAGAGTTTCCTGGAATAGGAACGTCAAATAAAGTTGTGTATGTGTAGACAGGAAGTTATTTCAATGGCTCAAAAGAAACCTCCTATAACATCTTTCAGAACAAGACTGATGAACCTATTTGTAGGGTAGGAATAGAGACACAGATGTAGAGAACAGACTTGTGGACACAGATGGGAAGGAGAGGGCAGGATGACCTGGGAGTGAGTAGCGCTAACATACATACACTACCACGTGTAAAATAGCTAGCTAGTGGGAAGCTGCTCTATAGCAACAGGAAAGTCAACGTGGCACTCTGTGATGACCTAAAGGGTGGGATTGTGGGGGTGGGAGGAAGGCTCAAGAGAGAGGAGATGTATGTACACTTATAGCTGATTCATGTTGTTGTACATCAGAAACGAACACGACATTGTAAAGTTATTATGCTCCATATAAAAAATAATTTTAACAAAAAACTTCCTTCAATCCGGTGTTTCCCCAACTCAACTTTATCACTCTCCTCTCATTAAACACGTTGAAATGTCAAGAAACAGATCACAATAAACACGTTACTAGGAAATAAATTTCTGTGAGAGCATGAGGATCCAGAGGTTCTCAAAGGGTGGTCCCCAGACCAGCAGTGTCAGCATCACCTGAGAACTTGTTAGAAATGTCCTTATCTACTAAATCAGAAACTCTGGGGGTGGAGTCAGCAATCTGTGTTTTTAATCCACCCTCCTTGGGACTCTGATGCATTGCTAGGGTTTGAAAACCACTGCTGTGAGCCTCCTTATAACCCTTCTTTTTATTTTTCTGCCCAGTGCAAAACGGAGACAGGTGGGTGCCTTAGCAGACTAACACATTTGAGTCCTTCCAGGAGACAGGCTTTAAATATTTGTCTGCTTGTTCTTAGTAGAGATGGGAGCAAACCACTCTTTTTTTAAAAGGTGACAGCCTGTTTCTTTATATTGTGACTCATACTCTGATCTCTGCACTAGGACGAGTGCATTCGTGAGGAATATAAAACATAGTCAAGATGTTAGACGAGAGCCCCAGGAGAGGGGCTGAATAGCGTGGTCTCAGGGGGACTTCCCCGGTGGTCCAGTGGTTAACAATTCACCTTGCAGTGCTGGGAACCCAGCTGGGTTTGATCCCTGACCAGGGAGCAAAGATCCCACATGCTACAAGGCCCGTGCACCACAACTAAGACCCAACACAGCCAAATAAGTAAACATTTTTAAAAGCTCATTCTGCCCACCTTCCCCAACCCACTTCCGTCTCCTCCCCTTCCCTACTTGAGAGAGCTCTTCTCCCATACCTCTCTTGGTTTGGCAGCTTTAGGGCGGTCTTTCTCTTCCAGCTCCTGACTCCATGCATTCTCTGACATTTTCTTCTAAGTTCAGTTCAATGCCCATAAAAGTTTCAAAAGTCTTTATCCCACCCCCACCTGCAAGGTAATGCTATCTTCAAGGAAATTGGAGGAACTGTATTAAGACCAACAGCTTTGCTTGCCTCGTGAACAAGAGCTTGCTCAGCTCCCAGGCTTCACCAAAGCTGTCCTGAGCAAGGGTGACATCATTTGATGTTTCCCTACATTGGCAGAGAAAACCTGAATTAAAACCATATCATGTTTCCAGTTTGTTCCAGTTGGACTCCAGAGTCTCCTTTCATATGGCTGTTCCAACCTGGGTGAGGCCCCCTTAGTGTGGGTCGGGCCCTGCCCACACTGTTCGGCCGCCCTCCTGGTTACAGGGAGCTGAAGCCAGTGGGCAGGATGAAGGTTGTATCCACGGGGTGTTACTGAGGGGCTCTGTCTAACAAGTGCCCGTCTGAAAGAGGCCGGTTTACAGCTCCTGGGGTGCAGTGTAACCTGCGGTCAGACTTCATTGCACATTAGAATCACCTGGGGAGCATTATAGATATGAACACCCTGGCCATACTCTACATCAGTTAAATCAGAATCTTTGGTACAGACCTAGGCACCAGTATTTTTTTTTTTTTAAAACTCCCTGAGTAATTCCAAAATGCAGCCAATTTGACAGCCACTGGACCAGACTGTGTACACAATCATATACTACACTAAGACATTATAACCATTTTGTTCAAAGCACTTCACGTAGCTAAATGAGTTATACTGTCTTCACCTGCTGTTTCACAGATGGGAAATTTGATACATAAAGGGAAAATGTGACTCATAAGGGAGGCCACAAATGAACTGTTACAGGGTTATAGAGGTGTCACTGCTCTCATCAAGGACTGAGACGTGGTAAATGCTATATTACTCTTTGAGGTTTTCCGGGGACCAAAAAGAGTTTGGAGAATCTATCAATACATGAAGGATGCAGGCAATTTGAATGGAATCATCATGCATTAATTTCTGAATTAAGGTTTTCTGTGTGAGAAACCAGAACACTGAAGAAGTAAAGTGATCATGANTCTGCAACCTCACGGACTGTAGCCTGTCGGGCTCCTCTGTCCATGGGATTCTCCAGGCAAGAATACTGGAGTGGGTAGCCGTTCCCTTCTCCAGGGTATCCTCCCAGCTCAACCTCATCGTAACCAGAAGCTGAATCAGTCCAAAGAAGGGGCAGGATTACTTTTAGCAGAACTGTGTTTCGGCTGCTTCTGTCACTTTTCTATTTTGCTTTCCAGAAATGAATGATTTCTGCACTGGGATGAGCAGAACAGAAAACATCACTGGAAAGGATAAGCCCTTTGATTTTGGATTATCAGAATGGAGAACTCCATCAACTTCCCTGAAGATTTGTCTCACCTGGAGATTATATAGAATATCCTGCAACTATTATTACGTTAATGGAGGGTCAACATGCTCCTACAGGACTTGTTAAGAAGAGTTCCCCCACCAGCCTGTGGATGAGACCTGAAATTCTTCTACCATAAATCCAAACTTTAGAATAAAATGCCATCCCTCTCATGGAAGACCTTGAGAGTTCCGCAGTGACCATTATCTTCCCCTTTTTCTTGACAGATAAAAGCAGAGGATGCCCACTTAAATCTGAATTTCAAATAAATAATGAATAATGTTTGGTATAAATATTTCCCAAATATTATATCCCTATGCTAAAAAAAAACCACATTTTTTTTCTTTGTCAGAAAATCAAATTTAACAAGGCATCCTGTATATCTATTTATTAAACCTGGAATCCTTCTGATAACCAAATGGAAATTCTCTTTGTGGCAGCAGTCTGCCCATCAGCAGACATTAGGTCATGATTGGTCTAAATTAATCATTTCCTCATTTTCCCAGACTTTCTTGCAGCTGGGGGTGTAGTGTCCCGGTCGTTGAGACATTAAGGGAAGTCTGTACATATATGCAGGATATGGCTTGAAAAGACTTTTTTTTTTTTTTGCAAAAGTGACCAGTGGTTCCATCTTTGCTCTGTTCTTCCTTCTTGACTAGACGTGGACGTGGTACTGAGAAGGGCTTCCCCAGTGGCTCAGTGGTAGAGAATCCACCTGCCAAGCAGGAGATGTGGGTTCAGCCCCTGGGTTGGGAAGATGCCCTGGAGAAGGAAATGGTGACCCACTTCAGTATTCTTGCCTGGGAAATTCCATGGACAGAGGAGCCTGGCGGGCTATACAGCCCTTGGGGTCGTAAAAGAGTCAGACATGACTTAGAGACCAAACAACAATTCCTTTCATCTTCCCTTGCTGGGAACAATGGTGCAACTAATTGAGACATTATGCTATTGACTTGTGAAATTATCATAATTTCCACATTGGAGCTGTGTTAAATAAAACATTAACAAAGACAATCTCATATAACTTGCTGCCTCTCCCCGCCTGCGACCCCCTCCCCCAAACAAGACAGTGAGGTCATAATAAAGGAGTGTAGGGACAAAAGAGAAGAGATCTGAAGCCTGTCTTGAGGCTTCACAGTGTTAAAAGGCCTGGGAGATGAAGGGAGATGAAAAAGAATCAGTAGGCTTAGAAGGAGTGACAGGAGGAAAACAGAGAGCATTCAGTGCCCAGTTGAAGAAAGCTTTTGAAGGACAAAGTGATGATTTGTCTGAAGTGCTGCCAAGATGATGAATAAGATGAGTTCAGATAAATGCCTGCTGGATAACGTGGAGCTGAATCGACAAGAGTGATGTCCCTGGGGGCACAGGAGGAAACCCTGGATTAGAGGGGGTTTAACAAACACAAACAATCAGGTTCTTCCAGAAACCCCCTTTACCATGCTCAAAGGGAGATTTATGTCCCCAGACCCTTTGTTCTGTTCTAGAACTCCCATCTAGAATCCTGCACAGGGGAAGGTATAGAATAATGACAGCTTCCTGACTGGTCACTGTGAGGATGAAATGATGGTCCGCTTTCTGTAAGGCAGGGTGGGTAAACTAATGCAAAGGGTGCAACACCCCATCACTTATGTTTGTTTTGGGTAGAGAAAAGAGAGCTCATAGTGCTTTAAATATTTACTAGCTCTCTGTCCTTTTCCAGAAAAGTTTGCCATGCTTTGCTGGAAATAGGGGGAGAGAGAGAATGAATTAAGGCAGTGAGTAAAGGATGAAAGGGTTTAAGAAAAGGTTTTTGTTTTGTTTTGCTCTAAAGAAGAATGAAATAGGACTTCCCTCCTGGTCTCAGTTCAGTCGCTCAGTCATGTCTGACTCTTTGCAACCCCATGGACTGCAGCACTCCAACTTTTCTGTCCACCGCCAACTCCCAGAACTTGCTCAAACCCATGTCCATCGAGTCGGTGATGCCATCCAACCATCTCATCCTCTGTTGTCCCCTTCTCCTCTCCCGCCTTCAATCTTTCCCAGCAGCAGGGTCTTTTCCATTGAGTCAGCTCTTCTCATCAGGTGACCAAAGTATTGGAATTTCAGCTTCANTTGACCTGCATACAGGTTTTGCAGGAGGCAGGTAAGGTGGTTTGGTATTCCCAGCTCTTGAATTTTCCACAGTTTGTTGTGATCCACACAGTCAAAGGCTTTGGCATAGTAAATAAAGCAGAAGTAGATGTTTTTCTGGAATTCTCTTGCTTTTTCTGTGATCCAACAGATGTTGGCAACGATCTGTGGTTCTTCTGCCTTTTCTAAATCCAGCTTGAACATCTGGAAGTTCATGAACTTCAGTACTTCATGAAGTTCAGAAGTTCATGAACAGTACTTCACGTACTGTTGAAGCCTGGCTTGGAGGATTTCGAGCATTACTTTGCTAGCGTGTGAGATGAGTGCAACTGTGCAGTAGTTGGAATATTCTTTGGCTCTGCCTTTCTTAGGGATTGGCATAAAAACAGATTTTCCAATCCTGTGGCCGCTGCTGAGTTTTCCAAATTTGCTGACATAATAAGTGCAACACTTTCACAGGATCATCTTTTAGGCTTTGAAATAGGTCAATTGGAATTCCATCACCTCCACTAGCTTTGTTCATAGTGATGCTTCCTAAAGCCCACTTGACTTCCCTGGTGGTCTACTGGTTAAGAATCTCCCTGCCAATTCAGGGGACACAGGTTCAGTCCCTGTTTCGGGAAGATCCCACATGCCAAGGGGCAACTAGGCCCGAGAACTACAACTACTGAGTCTGCAAGCTCCAGAGCCCGCAACAAGAGAAGACCCTGCAAAGACAAGGCTGAGCACCACAACCCACTGGTTGCCCGCACTGGCCACAGCTAGAAATAGCCCCAGTGCAGCAACGAAGACCCATCACAGCCAAGATAAATCAATAAAAGAAGGATGAAATATCAGTTGTGTATGCTGAAGATTCAGGAGAAAGAATAAAAATTGACGTAGAAAAAAAAATTGCTGGGTGGTGTTCTTGAGTATCACAGCAGGGTAGGGATCAGGAGCCCAAGCAGAAGAGTTGGCCTTGGTAGCACTAGAAACGTATATGTCTTTCACTGTTATTCTGTGAAGAGATGTGCAGTCTCCCACACATGAGGAAACACTCTCCAGGGCAATCACATGGCTCACCTGATTTGTTTCCTGTTTGGGGGGATTCACTTTCCTGTGCTGCCTGATGACCAATTTCTGAAAACCATTATTTCAAGAATAATTTTGATATATTTTGTATGATTTCTTAATTGCTTCAGATGGGAAGTGTTAGAACACAAAACCCAACTGAGTAAGTTTTAAAACTTTTATTGGCTTTATTCAATGTTCTAGAAATAGGATTCCGATCTAGCAGATAAGAAAGGAGCTCCAAGGAGTTGTACAAAATGAGAGACTTTCATAGGAGACAGGAATAAGGGAGTTATGCTAGGCAAAAAAAACAAATTCAAATTGGTTATTGCAAGGTTACCTTCCTATAGGGACCAATGAGGCAGATTGCCTAACACTGAACAGGTGATTCCTGTTTGAGTGGTTGAAATTTCTGTTTCTGGAAGTGCAAAAATTATAGTTAAGCCTTGGTTTGGTGACATGGGGCTTAATATAAGTGATTCCATTTTGAGCCTATTGTCTTGTTTTTAACAGCATGTAAATCGGCTCCCTCCCATTTCTAGTTGAATTCTATCAAGTCCTTTATTTTAGATAAAATTAGCTAGCTGTAGTGAATTTTCCAAGTTTATTACATTCAATACATATAAAAACTGGAGCGGCTTTTCCTCGTATTTCTCAACTATTTTGTTTCTACCGCTGGCTTTGCATACTACCAGCAGAGGGCACTTTAGCCATATTTAACCACTTACTACTCAGAATTAAACAATTTTATCTTTGGGATGTTCCCGCTAATGTAGAAAGAGAATTCTAGTCCTCAGCTTAAAATTCTCTGTGAGCGCACCCGGCTCCTCTGTTTCCCTTAGGATGTCAGCCCACTCTTCCTGGTGTCCAGGCCACGCTTAGTTGCTCAGTTGTGTCCGACTCTTTGCGAACCCATGGATTATACAGTCCATGGAACTCTCCAGGCCAGGGTAGCCTTTCCCTTCTCCAGGGGATCTTCCCAACCCAGGGATAGAACCCAGGTCTCCTGCAATGCAGGCGGATTCTTTATCAGCCAAGCCACCAGGGAAGCATAGTGTTAATTTGTTTTTTCTTCCACTGCCTCCAACCCTTCCCCTTCCTTTGCTATGCCTCCTAAACGTGAAACTTCCTCACAGCTTCTCTTAAGTACTCTCGTCTCTTCCTAGGTGGCTTCTAGATGGGAAACACCTGAAGTCCAGGTATATTTCTAGGAGCCTAGAGAGCCTCTGTTCTTTGAGATCCATCATCATTGCAAACTCAGAGTGTCCAGATCCTGCTCAACAAATCTCTCTCCTTTCTGCTTATACCTTCTAGTTTTCTTAAACAGATTGAAAAAAAAAAAAAAATCAGTACTATTGAAGTATAGTTAATATATGAAGAGGAGCAGAATATGCCACCGCCAGATATGCCTGTTTGGCATAAAGATGATCTCGGATTAGTTATTTTTAAGAAACAACAGACACAGACAAAGTTCTGAGAACAGAGTAGAAGCTACCCTATTGTATGGGATATTTACATTTATAAGGGGACTCTCCTTTTGAAAGGTGTCTTCCTCACCGGACCAGGAATAGGAGGATGACTAAAACTCTAGAAATTCTAGAAACTACTGTTCTGTTCTTTAAAAATAACCAGTTTACAATAATCAATATGCCTAATTTGTGGGTAGTATATTTTGTTTCTCATCAGTACCTCTTTCAAAACGTTAAAGAAGTTTCACAATTCAAAAGCTAAACTGATAGATCGCTCCATGTCTTATTGAACCAGTCTGTCTTGATAGTAAGTCCACTCAGTTAAAGAGCTGTGTCTCATTTCAGGAGGTGAGTGATGCTCCTTTCAGGTCTGTATTACATGAATCAGGGATTTAATAAGAAGCATTTCTATGGAAGGCATCCCTGGTGGCTTAGCAGTAAAAGAATCCTCATGCCAATGCAGGAGATGTAGGTTCGATCCCTGGGTCAAGAAGAAGCCCTGGAGAAGGACACGGGAACCCACTCCAGTATTCTTGCCTGGGAAATCCATGGGCAGAGGAGCGTGGCAGGCTAATGTATAGTCTGTGGGGTCACCAAGAGTCAGGCCATGACTGAGCAAGTAAGCACGCATGAATCCACAAACGTGTGCTACTGAAACACAATTTTCCCTCTAAAATCACCTAAGTGGGGCTTCTCTGCTGGCTCGGTAGTAAAGAATCTGCCCGCCAATGCAGGAGATATGAGTTTGATCCCTGGGTTGGAAAGATCTCTGGGAGAAGGAAATGGCAACCCACTCCAGTATTCTTACCATAACTAAAACCTGAGGTTCTAAAAATGTAGAAATCTTTTGGTTTCCATCTTAGTTGGAAATGCACTAATCTTTCAGTTCCTCTCTAAACTTAATAAGGATCTTCTGAAGGTGGAGATAAAAGGACTTCATAAATCAGAAGAACTGCTGCTGGTCAGGAGACATGAATGC